CCGTGACCCCACACCGTACTCCAGCATCGTGACTCCAGCACCGTGCTGCAGCCCCCGTGACTCAGCACCGTGCTCCAGCACCGTGACCCAGCACTGGGGTCCACACTGTACTCCAGCCCGTGACTCCCACCGTACCCAGACCGTACCCAGCACCGTACTCCAGCACTGTGACACCAGCACCGTGACTCCACACGGACTCCAGCACCGTGACTGCAGCCCGTGCTGCAGCACCGTGACCCCCAGACCGTGACTCCAGCCCCGTGACTCCAGCACTTCTGACCCCGCACTGCGACTCCACCCTGCTGACCCCAGCCTGCTTCTCCAGCATGTTACTCCACACTGTACTCCAGCACCGTGACCCACACCGGACTCCATCACTGTGACTCCAGCATGTGTTTCCACACTGTGACTCCAGCATCGTGACCCCACACTGTGACTCCACTCGTGTTTCCAGCACCGTGACCCAGCACCGGACTCCAGCCCCGGGGGACTCCACCCCGGGGGGGGGGGACTCCAGCACCGTGACTCTAGCATGGTGACTAGTATTGGTGCTGCTTCTCACCAGCCTCTGTACATATATATTTGCGAAAAGAAAAAAAATCATGCGTTCAGAAGTGAACGAAGAACAGTTGGTGAACAGGTTAAAGGGCTCTTCGTCCAGGGAACTAGAGTTATTTCTCTGCTCATCCCCTCCCCCTTTTTTTGGATCCTGTGTAATTTTCATTAATTTCCCCGGGAGCTGTGTGACCCTTACGAGTTTAGCTCTTTGACATGAACGTTGCGTAAAATGGTAATGCAGTAGTATGGGGAGAGCTAAACCCGAGAGGGTCGTGTAGCATCTGCGGGAATGAGAGGTAGTCAGATTTGATTCGAGGAAGTGAAGAGTAGCTCCAGTTCCTTTGATTAAGAGGCCTTGTTTAGACAAGGTTATATTTCTTACAACCTCAGACTACTAGTGTTCTTGTTCCAAGGGAATGGAGTCCACCTTCCCCTTCATTGTCCTTTGCTGCCCAGGTGGTACATTACCCATACTGGTTTAGCGCTTCCCGAGATTGTGGGGCTTATGTAATATCCTATTTAAGGGAAAGCACTACACCTGCAGGGGTCATACTGTGTCTGGGAAATGGGAAGTAATCTGAATCGATCCAGGAAGCGGAGGACACGATCAAGAGCCTCTCATGATGCAGTG